GTCAGCCACTTTGGTAATAGAGGGGATGAAAATACTGAATCCTTGTATTGTAACTGCAACAAGCAAGCTATCATGGGTTCATGTAGCTTCTCTAACCGCCCCACCACTCCTCCATGTGAACACCAGGGATTCTTGTGTGTCTTACTACTACTAATGAGTCCGACGACGATGAGGATGCAGCACCAGCAGGCTCCCTGCTCCTTGCTGTTGTTGATATGCTGGAGGAATCCCTGACACACTTCCTCTGGCCTTTCAATCATAACAATTAAATACAAAATGCAACGGATACATACGGTACGGAGCTTCAAAGAAAGGAATGAAGGAACATACCATTCCTATGTATCTATTGTAAGGTACTGTTCTTATGTATGTATCATAGGATCCATTGTAAAGAGGTCTAAGCCCCACAATATCACTTGCCAGGAACACGCCGAGAAGGTTCTCGTTTGCTGCAACAGAGCCAACATCCTTCATGGTATTAAAAGCCCCTTATCTGAACGAGAGATCAAGGAAATCCTTTTCCACTCTTTCCCTAATGCTTGGCAAGATAAATATGTGAAAGATATCCTCGAAGATTCACCACAGGAAATAGTTAAATTCATGACAGATCAGAAGGGACTTGCTGACAAGAATGAAAAGAAACAATCGAGGAAAAGACCGGCAGATGATACTAATACTAATGCAGGACATGGAGGAAGGAATACAAATGGGAGACAAAGGAGACGCGGCAACAACAACAACAATAATAGAAACAACAACMGACAGAATGGGTCATTCCCGTTATTCTAAATCTCTAAAACTCTAATCTAGAGATCTAGAGTAACGGGAATCAAGACATTCAACGGACAGACTGAGAGGATGCCAGCTCGATGCCAGTCTTTTCCGGARTTTGGAATCTTAACTATACTCTAAAAATAGGCTCGCGTGCTGACTAAAAAGAGGCACAAATTTTCGATACGTGTGTTAAGTCTTTCAAGGGACGACTGGAAAATATTTTATTCGTGGGTTCCACTCTAAATCTAGAGTATTTAGAACCGGGTGGTTCGACCGGTTCTAAATACTCTAAATCTAGAGTCAAAAACTCCAAATTCTGATGGACTGACAGACCAAAAATTTAGAGATCTAGAGTAACGGGAATCACCCAATGAGAGCCCTGAAGAAAGACAGAGTAGGATCAATGCAACGCCCTGCAAGAAACACAATGGACAACACCTTTGGGGTGAATGTCCATTCAACCAGAGGGGAAACAATTACCAAGGTAATAATTGGAGTAATAATAATAACAATTACAGGGGAAATCAGAGGAGTCAAGGAAATTCGAATGCAAATCACAGCAGCAAGAGGTTTACACCGGGTGCCTACTCATGCATCATGGATGAGCATGGAAATATGAGCAACTTCCAACCGCAGACAATTCAACCTCAGAACTATCAGCTTACCAACAGCTCTAACTCCAGCAATGGGCCTCCAAGCCATGTATCATTACAGTCCCATAGCAATGCCGGATCCGCAACTCGATTCCAAGGACAAGGACTAAATCAACAGTGGTGACATCTGAAAGAGGCTTTCTTTGCATTGCCTCCAACACCATCCACACAATCACCTGAACAGAGCTTTGAATTCTATGGTCTTGATAATGAAGAAGCGCTTAAGAATCCAACAGCAGTGACCTTGCGAGCTCTGAAACCACCACCGGATGTACTACCAGCAGTTATCCTTGTATGCAAAGCCATTCAACACCTCCCGACAATGCAAACATTCAAAGTCTTATTAGACAGTGGGAGTACAATGTGCCTTATTCACGAGCGTTGCCTTCCACCAGGAATAGTCCCCTTCCAAGACAAATTCAGTTCAGTTACAACCACAGCCCAGGGAAGCTTCGACACTTCTAAGTATGTTTTCATATCCAACATAAGATTCCCTGAGTTTGGCAATGGCAAATATATCAAAGGAATAAATGCAAGGCTCTTCTCAGCCCCTTGTAACTACGACTTGATTTTAGGACACGACTTCCTGTTGATGACTGGAATAGACCTCTTCTATTCCACACGCACTATCAGATGGTTAGGCTCAACCATTGATATGAAACCCACARATCACTTCAATGRTCCCCAGCAAATAGCAGAGGCTATGTGGCTGGCAGAGGATGATGAGCTCCTAGATGGAGGATTCTAAGAGTTTCATCTACTCCCCCGAAACTACCGACAACAAGACTGCAGATGTGCAGTCCGATCGGACAGTTATCTAGCAGCAGATGCTGCCAGAGCGAACCAAATACTTGATGCTAAATACCAACGAGTAACTCCAGAAGAGGTTGCAAACCATCAGGAGCATATGAACAGCTCAGAAAGACTAGCATTCAAGGATATGTTAGCCAAACACCAGGAGTTGTTTGATGGAAAACTTGGTCGGTATCCTCATGAAAAGATCCACATTGATCTAGAGGACAATGCAGAACCAGTTTACATAAATCCATACCCAGTCCCTTACAGACACGAGGATGTCTTCAAACGGGAATGCCAACATCTAGTTGATGAGGGGGTTATTGCCCCCACTGGCAATTCAGAATGGGGATTTCCAGCCTTCATCATTCCAAAAAAGGACGACAGAGTCAGATGGCTTGTTGACCTAAGAGAACTAAACAAAAGGATCAAGCGTCCCAAGTTTAATCTCCCCAAGATTCAGGACATCATGAATTGCAGAACACAGTATGATCACTTCACCAAGATTGACCTCTCGATGATGTTCTATTGCTTTGAATTAGATGAAGCCAGCCAGAAGATTTGCACTGTCACCACAACACACGGCAATTACAGGTGCCTAAGATTGCCTATGGGTCTTAAATCATCTCCGGATTATGCCCAAGCATTCATAACCAAGATCTTGGTCAACCTTGATGTTGAAGTATATATTGATGACATGGGGATTTGGTCCAGAGGACCATTCAGCACACACCTGTCTCTGGTAGACCCAGTCCTTCAACGTCTAGCATCAAATGGGATGAAATGTAACCTTTGAAATGTGAGTGGGTCGTGAAAGAATCAGATTTCCTTGGATATTGGCTTACCCCTACTGGTGTCAAGCCTTGGCAGAAAAAGGTGGATGGAATCCTGAAAATGGGAATTCCCCAAAATCAACAACAGGTCCGGTCTTTCCTGGGTGCCGTCAACTATTACAAGTCAATGTGGCCAAGGAAGTCACACGTACTGGCCCCACTAACAGCCCTCACAGGCTCCGGACCTTACATATGGATGCCMCAATGTAATCAAGCCTTTCAGGAAATGAAAGCTCTTCTTGCCCATGATGCTATCAACACCTTTGCCAATTTGGAAGAACCCTTTCATATTTACACCGACGCGTCTGATTATCAGCTCGGTGCAGCTATCCTCCAAAACAACAGACCAATTGCCTAGTATTGGTCCAAGAAACTGAACAAAACACAACAGAATTACACTACAATGGAAAAAGAGCTCTTAGCAGTCATCCTTTGCCTCAAAGAGTACCGAAATATGTTATACKGTGGCTGTATCAACATTTATACTGACCATAAGAATCTCATCTTCAGGACCCTGTCCCAGTCCCGGGTTCTCAGATGGAAGTTGTCCCTAGAAGGTTTTGATATCACCTGGCAGTATATCCAAGGCAAGCACAATGTACTTGCTGATTGTTTCTCCAGAGTGCCCAGAATGGATCAGTGCACTGTGGGGGATAAGGAAAAGAAAATATATGAGCAAAATAAAGGAACAGTGGTGAATTTCAAGGAATTGACAGCTCAAGTGGATCCGAAAGATGTTTTCTATTTGGAGCCCGAACTATATGAGTGCTTGCTCAATTTACCACCAGTATCAGAGATGGAAAAYCCCATAACAAATGCAAGCCTTTACACTTATCAGCTCACGGATCCACAGTGTCAACACCTACTTGAAACTGATCCAACACGCTATGTCAAGAGGAGGATAGGAACCTTCTTTGAGTTAATCACAATATCCACGAATGATAACAACAAGTGGAAGATCTACTTGCCCGATGGCCTCGTGGAGAGCACCCTCAGATGGTTTCACCTCCTATTGGGTCACTGTGGAAGCACTAGACTATATGAAACTATCAGTGCTYGATTTTATGCTCCACGACTCAGCCTAAGATGCAAGCAATATCAGTGTCCGGATGAGTGCCATACTAGATTCAAGCAACAAGGACAGGGACATGGCTTATTACCAGCCCGAGAAGCTCAGCTTTTTCACAATAACAACAAGGTCTCTTTGTTGCTGCCTTCACCTATCAGGCTGGTTTGGATAATGGTCTCTAGTTCTTCTGGTCTGGCMATCAATTGTCTGAATCCATCAAAGTCTGGGTCCCACGTGGAATTTCACGATACGATTGACCATACGACTCACTCACGGCTCACACGGTTCAACGACTAGCCTGAAACACGACACACGAAGAAACAGTTTCCTCTTATGTACCGTACGTACGTACGTACGTACCATCAGGGGTCATAAATTTAGTATGACCCCTGCGTACCATAGTATGTACGAATATTTCTACATCTAATTGTACTACGAAGTACTTAATTACGTATCGGTACGTACGTCCATCTGAGGACTTTCCAGTACTCGTATTTACAGGACAAATTTACCGTAATAGGTACTGGTACTCTAATACCGTACCGTAGGACAAAGTCCGACGAACGTGGACGTTAATACGTATGTACGAACTMCTAGTACCAGTCTTATTAATTTGTACGTTCATATGTACGTACTGTACTGTAATATTTTTTTCGTCACGGCTCCGGAATCCGGAATCAATCAAACGTACTTGTACGTACGTTAGTCTTCGATTTTTGTATTGATAATTTTGTTTTTAGTAGTGACACGAAGCTTCGACCAAACCAATCAGCCCGTCCGATTGAGATGAATTTCTTTGATGAGTTCTGGTCAGCGAACAAAGCGAAGGCTCATTCTTCGCATGTTCTTTATTCCTCATGATTTCAATTCGTGTAGTTGCACTGTGGGAAATAGTAGATCTGTTCTGGAAAATCTGCATTTTTCTCTACGATGAAAGTTTTCAAGGATCAAAATAATATGTTCTGTCACACAGAGCCAATAATTCTCGACAAAAAACAAGCTATGATCTCTCCGCGATTTTCTCTTGTCACGGGTGTTTGAAAAACACACCTCCCTCCAAACAAAATTGTTTTCGGCTATCTTCGATCATTTCGATTCTTGAGAACAAGAGCATCTGCACAATATTATTCTTAAAGCACATATAGTTATTTTACAGCTTATGATCGGTCAAGAGAATACCTACATATTTGTCTCTCTTTCAATCATTGTTGCTATCATTATACCTCGCTCATCACTCAACATTGATTTTGCTACAATGACTATGTTTAAACTAAAGAAATGCTTCGGCAAACGCAAACATCAAACTATTTGCGAGGTGGCCGTCGTTCCCTCGTCCCCCGAACCTCATAGYGCTGACGATTCCCGCGAAGCTTCCAACGAGATCGCCGATACTTCCGAGCAGGAATGCGATGATGATCAGTGTGATCAGGCCATTCACCTGTCTCATTCGACCACTTCAAGCACTGATGCATCCACAATAGACACTCTTSMCGACGAAGAGAATGATGCCCGAACGCCAGATTGCGAAAGAAAACCCGCGGCACTCTCCGCCAACTCCTCCCCGTTGTTGATGATAGGTTTAGACTCAATGGTAAATGTTGTGAGCTACTTAGACCCCAGAGAAACCCTCAATCTGTTGACGATGCCACTCTGCAAGCAATGGCGCCTGTCATATACCTGTGACCAAGAATTATGGAGAACTATTTGCTTAACGGAGCCATTTTCAGCGGATATTCCCAGCTACAGCGCCTCCAACAGCAGCGACGGTTCCACCCCTCGCATTATCAGTTGTTACGATGACATTGACAACGATTCGTCCAGTCCTCTAGAGAACAACATGGACAACGTTTTTGGGGAGTTTCGTTTGATCTTCACTAGTTTCGTTCGGTGCATGAACTACCTAGATCGAGTTCAAAACATTAACGGTGGTGGTGGACGCAAGCTTTGGTCGGAGAGAAGTCACAACCGTGGAAGCAGTCACAGCTTTCCAACCTTCGGTGTTACCGATTCGCTGAAAAAGTTTTTGATCAAAAGGAAAGAACATAACCAGTTGAGGTCGGTAATTGGCAATGGCAAGGGTGCTATGTCTTCGATACCCATTGGTATCTCATCCGATGGTCAGGAAATCCAAGTAAGTGATGCGCATTCCCCATTCAATGATTGTGATTACGGATGCCCGGAGTCCTCGCTATGTCACTGTGTGATTTTGCTGCGAAATATACGTGAGCTCTTTAGTTCGTGTTTCGGTATTTCTCACTATTTTCTTTGCACCGATAGCCCTCTTCAAAGACGGAAACAAAAGTAAAGGACTTGGAGAAACCAAAGTATGGGAATTCAATGATCACAAGTCGACTGTTTTCTTCCCATTTAAATCTACCAAAATCATTTGCAATATACTCGATTGTGAATTGGATGGTGGCACATCCAAACGTAAAAGGGATCCAGATCATGTGCATTCAGGCCCTTCCTTCTCTTTTGGAAGACGAACAGCAACGCGTCACCGGCCAACGTGTGGGATTGGTAGAAGTGATACTGAGCGCAATGATGCGCTTTCCCGAGTGCGTGGAACTCCATATCGCGGTCTTTCACTCCATTGTTTTGTTGGCGCGTCCACTCGGCGGACGGGAAGGAATGCTCTTTGATAATTCCATGGCCGACAGCACCCAAAGCATTGGACTCACGTCTCGAATTGAATTGGCGGATTCTGTTTCCTTGGCATCGCGATGTGGTGGACTTCCCTCCCTCGAAAGAAAAAATCGTGGCAGCAATACATCAAGAAGTACCGGTCTCGCCAATCACAGGTGTATCAATGTAACCGGAACTACCGGGGTTTCGCTACTAGTAGACTCCATGCAAAGATTTTCATCCTGCGAGAAACTCCAATCTATGGCATGTTGGGCGCTGGTAAATGTCGCACTCGTTCCTGCACAAAAGAACATGTTTATGAGAATCGGTGGCATAGAAGCTATTCTGAACGCTATGGAGATGCATGAAAAAGTATTTGATGTGCAGTTCCGGGCATTGTTTGCTCTCATCAACCTGGTGGTTCCCTCCCGGCCCTCCGATTTTGCGATCGATCGAAGCATGAACGGCATGGAAGCAACCCGCCTCGAGAAGGCCGTCCTGACCGAGTTTGGGCCAAAGATCGCCCAGCTGTCGGTCACGGCCATGAAAAACTTTTGCTCCAGCGAGACGATTCTCAACCGCGGCTGCTTGGTTGTGCACAATCTTTCACAATCGCCCGCATTTATGTCAACGCTTCTGGAAACCCCCCACTGCTTTCAAATCCTGGAGTGGTGTGTGACGAACCACTCTACCGACAGTGTCCTGAGACGAAGCGTTTCAAGTACAATCGCAAGAATGCAGAACTACCTCGACGAGCACCCAGAACAACAAGAGCGGTTCGCGGTGTCACTGGAACAGCAAAACCACGAAGTCCTGGATCTGCTTTGGTAAAGACCGATGGACAAAGATAGCAACAGAGTCGATGATTCATGTGTGATACAACGAGACAAGCCAATCCTCACCAGAAAGAGAGCACGAAGGAACATGGTGTTGAAAAGCACGATCGCTCCGCACAGAACTATGTTCCCCAGAATGCGACGCATGGACGGCGTCGTTCATGCACGCAAGACACTCGACTGGTTGGCAGCCAGAGACTACGAAGAACCCAAACGAAATAGCTGGTCAATCTCCCCGAAAAGGTCGAAATCCCCTACAAGAAGCGATGTGCATTAAATCATACCGAATCCAAGAACCCCTGCAAGCAAAAAATGATTTCGACGATGCGCGTTGCCGAGATGGTTTTCGATGATATACGCATAAAAAAAAAACATCCATCTTGATCGTCCTCTCCCAAAAAATAGCGAATCCCTCTCTCAATTTGTACAAACACGAGGGAAGCAAAGAATCCTATAAAAATAAACTTCAAATTTGCTTCTACTTTATGTACATACACGAATYGACGACGATCTTCTTTCGTGCCGGCAGGCAGCGCCGAGCGGCGCTCTGGTAGCACCCACACGCTGGTGCGCGTGGCCTCGGAGAGTGCCAGCACCGCACCGGGCCGCGCCCGGCACGTAGCCTCCGCTTTGTTTACGGCGCGGAGGCACCGCCCTGCTCCTTTCGGATCCCGGTGTTTCCCCCCGCCGATGCGGCCGGCGCCGCCGCCGGAACCCCGGTGGCTCCCCCGGGAAGCGCCGCCCTTCCGCCCGTGCCCGGGGCCTTCCCGGGGGCACCCGCGGGCCGGGGGGCGGTGGCCGAAGCAGCGGGGGTTGGGTTCGCCGCCGGTGCGGGAGCTGCCCCGGGCATCGGCGAGGTCGTTCGGCTGTRCCCCCCCCGGCCGCCCCACCCCCTGGCCTCCCGTATGACGGCCGTCCAGACGTATTCCGTCGCGACGCTCTCGAACTCGCGCGTGACCAGGGCGTAGTCCGACTCCCTCCCGTTGTACTTGACGCAGTTGTGGCCGATGAGGTGGACCTGCCGGAGGATTCCCTCGTAGGTCCGGATGTGCCCCGAGAGGACGAGCTTGCGGATGAGCGAGATGTCCATCGGGAACTTGATCCGTTCCGTGTAGCCCGGTGCGTCGGTCGGGTTGACGGGCTTGCGAAAGACGAGGGAGCTCCGGTAGTTGTAGATTTTCTTGCAGAGGCCCAGGAGTTTTTCGTTCGAGGCGTGTTCGCGGGTGTACTCGGGGTAGCCCGGGAGGGACCCCAGCCGCCGGAACTGGGAGAGCTCGCTGGTGTCCCCGGGTTGGCCCCCGCCAGTGGTTCCAGCGGAGGGCACCGCGTTTGCGGCCTCGGTGGCGGTCGCCGTTGCCTGCTTGTTATTGCTGCTGGTGTTGTTGCTATTGCTGCTATTGCTATTGGTGTTGGTGTTGTTGGTGTTGGTGTTGGTGTTGGTGTTGGTGTTGGTGTTGCTGCCGGTGGCATTGCCGCTCGGGTGTGCCTTTCTCCTGGCGCTGGAATACTGCGAGGCGATCCCCACGCTCTGGGCCAGCTGGGTGAGGTGGTTCTTTTCCCGGTGCGCCGGGAGCTGGCTGGACGGCGGCAGGGGGGTGGTCAGCTCGTGCCGCAGGCGCCCCAGGAGCGCCGAGAGGGTCCAGTGGGCGTCCGGGGGTGTGAACTCCGCCCCGAGCATCGCCAAGAGTGCCTTTTCTTCCTCCGGGCTCGGCGCGGCCTCTTCCGTGGTTTTTGCTTTTGTTTGTGGTTTTGCTGGTGGTTGCGCCGGCCCTTCCGCCGGGCCGGATCCCCCACCGCAAGCCGTGGCCCCTCGCTGCGTTTCCCTCGCAATGGCCCTGGCCAGGATCCCCAGCTCGGCCTCGAGGGCGGCCTCGCAGGCCTCGGCCTCGGAGACGACGAGCCTGAGCTCCCGCACCGGGATCCCGTCCGTCATCCGATACAGGGAGGAGGAGAGGAGCTCCTCGATGGCCTCGGACGAGGCGCTCGCGATCTCGTCCCGGTAGGAGGACCGGGACGGTTCGGCCGGGGGCTGTCCGCCGCTGCCGCCGCCGAGGTCGCTCCCCGCGGTCTTTTTCTTCTTCTTGGTGCTTCCGTGCGGGGGGCCCGTCTCGTCGGGGGCCGATCCCTTCGGGGAAAGATGCGCCGGGCCCTCCGCGTTGCTTCCGCTGGGGGTCTCGCTCCGGGACCGCTTCTTGGTGCCGGCGGCTTTCCCATCGGGGCCCGGACCCGCCGAGCGGCTCCCCCTGTGGGTGGAGGCCGCACCGCTTCCGCCTCCCGCCGCCTTTTTGCTGCCGCCGGAAGCCGTGGAAGCACCGCTGCTGGCCTCCCCCATCGCGGGCAAAGAATCTAACGAAACGGAACGAAACGGAACGAAACGAAACGAACCAGCCAGCCGTTGACGGTGTCGGACGCTCGAGGCGGATGCCGCGGTTCAGTACCGTGGTTCCGGTATGTGTTGTGGGTTGTATCTGTTTCGGTCCGATGCCGCAGATTGTTGGAGGTGTCGTGATTTTGTTCCGTGCCGTACCGGTACGTACTTTTGTGCTGTACGGCTTGTACTGTACTGGTACGTACGTACCCTCGTCACTTCTCAGAAATCAGAAATCGGCTTCTTCTCTTTTTTGCGCGGCATCTTTTTCCTGTTCGGTATCCGTATGTCTGAGTACGTACGTACTATGAGTAAGGTACGTAAGGTTGTAGTACCGGTAGTATGAAAAAAGTGAGCGCGCTGGATGTTCGTTGTTACCGCGGCGCGCATGCCAAATGAAAAAACAAAAAACTACATATCGAAAATGCGTTTTTACGGACGACAGCCAGATCTTTCTCCGTTCAAAAATTCTCCAAATTTTCCAAATCAAAACAAAATTTCTCTGCAATTTTTCCGACCGATGAGGGAATGAATGAATGAGAAAGTGAGTCGATCGAGTCGCTCGTCTTTGGATGTGTTTTGCTGACTCGAACAAACGGGGCCATGTTCCATCCCGTTCTCGATCAAAAACCATCAAACCCAGAAAAGTTCGTTGTGGTCGAAAATCGTAAACCCACGGAAAGACGGAACCTCGTCCATTCCATTTCCCCGGAATCCAGGAAATGAGCGACGACCGCACGGTGTGACAGTTCGCCGGTCAATTCATCGCTAGTGTTCGTTTCATGCCGGTATTTCCGCGCGGTTTCAAAAAGAGATCGACGAAGGAAAGCGGGTGCTCTCTGGTGATTGTTTGTTTGTTTCTTCGTCTTTGGTTTGGCCCGAGTCCATTGTTCGCGAATCGCAACCGGCGGTGGCCCTCCCGTGGTGCGGAATTGAAGCCAGGATGAACATCGACGATCTCATCACGGGTGGCAGGAGCGGAGCCGCCGGGGGCAGAGCGAGCAAGAGAAGGGCAGCTGCGACGAAACGGAAACGCGGAAGCGCCGACAGCAGCAACATCAGCAGCAGCAACAACAACAACAACAACAACAACAGCAGCAGCAACAACAACAACATCAACAGCAACAACAGCAACAGCAGCAGCAGCCAGAACGACGACGACCTGCTGGCAATGGCACTCGGGTCCTCCGGGGTGAGAGGCGCGGACGCGGGTGCCTACGAAGAATCGGTCCTCCGCGACGCCGAGCTCTCGTCGACCCCCCGTCTGATGGCCGCCGGGGGGGACCCGCCCGGGACCCTGCTGGGGTTCCCCCCCCTCGATGCCATGGTTCCCTCCCGGAGCATCCGGGCCGACCTGGCCCACGTCCAAACGGTGCTCCAGAACCTCAGAGCCAGCGCCAACACCAGCGCGAAYGCGAACGCCAAACCCGGCGCGGCACGTCCGGTGCACGGAACGATCGACCGCAAGCGCTGCCTCAAGGAACAGATGCTCCTGGCCCTGCTGCAGTCGGCCTCGGGGGACCCAGAGATGGGGGTCTTTCCCCAGCAGGAGGCCAGGCAGGAGTGGAAGCGGCAGAAATGGTACCGGGACGGCGGCAGCGACGAGGCCGTGGAAGCCGGCGGGGGCGGTGCCCTTCTGGATCCTTCCGCCCACCAGGTGCCGCGTTCCGGGCGCAAGAAGGAACAAGCCGGAAGCACCAATCGGCCGAAGGGGACCGGGAACAGCCCCGGGGGGGACGGCGGTCACGGAATCGACGATTCCACCCCCGAGGGCCGACTCGAGGGGATCAAAAAGGGCGTACAGCAGACGAAAAAGAAGTCGGTTCGCTTTGCCGTCGGCGTCAAAGAGGGTTCCAGCGGCGGCAGGCCCAAATCCCTGCTCTCCAAAAAGGTGGTCCGGATCAAGCCGAAAGCCGGCCGCCGCCGGATATCCATGCAGGAACGGCGGAGGAGGCAGGCCGAAGGACACGACGGTTCCACCGGGGGAAACGACAAGGAAGCAGAACTCRGWGGCGGCGGCGACGAAGAAGACGAAGCCGATCTGAGAGAGCGCATCGTGGCCCAGCTCAAGCAGATGAGGGTCGAGCGAGAGGCACGCAGAAAACAGCGGAAGCGGGCCTGGCGAGAAAGCCGAGACGAGGCAAGCGACGACGATGCCTTCGACGACGACGACGACGACGACGGCGGCGAGGTGGAATTCGAATTTCCAGAAGACAACAACAACAGCAGCAGCAGCAGCAACGACAAAGACAGCGACGCGAATCCACGATCGGCCGACACCGGAGAGTCCGCGCCCGAAGGGTCCGGGCCGGCCCMGGCGTCCGCACCGCCGGAAGCGGTCCAAGCGGGAGGCGGCACCGGAGGGGGGTCCGTGGTGTGCCCGCTTTGCAGCGAGGAGATCCCCGTGCCGGCTTGCAACGGAGCGGCCTCCGAAGCCGAACGGAAGGGACGCGCGGATGCCGTCCTGGCCGAGCACATGAACTCGTGCCAAACCAAGCCCCGGACGCGCACTAGGGGCCGGCGGCGGCCTGCCCTGCCGATGCACCTAGGACGGAACTCAACAACAGCGGCTCCACCACAGCCGCGGCCCCGACCTAGCTATGCCGAAATCGATACTAGTGACGACGACGACGACGACAACAACGACGACAACAACGACGACTATTTTGACGAGGACATCAGCAACAACAGCAGCAGCAACAGCAACAACTACAACGATGATCACAAAGGCGATCACGACTTGTTGGACGAGGACATTGTCATCGACCACGACGACAAGGAAATCGCGTCGGACAAGCGATCCACCAAAGTGACGCCAAAGAGACGAAAGCCGCGGAAACGATCGGCCAACAGAAACGCCCGAGCGGCAGGCCACAGCCGCACCTCGGTCCAGGCACCCCTGGACGACTGGTACACGGACGACTACGAGGACCGGGTCGACGACTGGATCGAGCACGGGCTGGAGAAGATGCCGATGATGACGGAGCGCGACGCCACGGAGGTCCCGCCGGGGGAAGAAGAATACGACGGGGGATTGATCGTCCCCGCCTGGACGAACGATCGGTTGTTTCCCTACCAGCGGACGGGCCTCAAGTGGATGTGGGAGCTCCATCGCCAGCAGAGTGGGGGCATCCTCGGCGACGAAATGGTACGCCATGCTGCCCTTATTTGTGCTGTGCTGTGCTGTGCTGTGCTGTGCTGTGCTGTGCTGCATTGCATACGCCGTTGTTTGTGGTTGCAAAATCTGCGCAACCACTTCTAACCATTGTTTGTTTATTGTAAATGCCGACACTGATGGGATTTGATTCGCACCTCTTGGGCTTCATTCTAGGGTTTGGGGAAGACGATTCAGGTTGCATCCTTCCTGGGCTCGATGGCTGCTAGCCGGAAGCTCAAGGCAATTCTTATCATTAGTCCCGCGACCATGCTTCAACACTGGCTGAAGGAAATGGCGAAATGGGCACCCGGGGTGCGGCGCATGCTGGTTCACCAATCGGGGGACACACCGATGCCATCGTCGCAGCACCAGAGCCTCTTGTACAACACGGGGCAGCGAAAARTAACGGCGCAGCGATTGGCGGACKCGGCACGGTGGCTGAAGCGATCGAGGCAGGACCGGCTGTTCGAAATCATCGACGAGGCCGACCTGGACACCAGAGATCCCTCCACGTTTTGCGGGACCGCCTACGCGTTCGTAACGACGTTCGAGAACGTACGGAGAAACGAGGAGATCTGGACCAACCACCAGTGGAGTTACGTGGTCATCGACGAGGCACAAAAAATCAGAAACCCAACGGCGGACATCACTTTGGTTTGCAAGGTACGTACTRCTAAGCGCAAGTAAAGAGCAGAGGCGCAGCAGAGCGAACCATGCGCTGTATTTTCCATTCTTTGCCTCACCACTTGTTGAGTGTTTCACACCTGGCGTTGGGATCCATCAGAGACTCAAAACTCCACATCGTCTCGCTTTGAGTGGAACACCGATTCAAAACGACCTAAGAGAACTGTACGTGCTTGCGAAGAAACCTCTAGGGACCCTTCACTTCTTCGACGCGCTGTGTCTAATTCGTCGTGCATRCCTTTTCAAATTTGCAGGTGGTCCATTTTTGATTTCGTTTTCCCCGGTCGTTTGGGAACTCTTCCCGCTTTTGAGACAGAATTCGGAACTCCAATCAAACGGGGAGGATATAGCAACGCCTCCCCTATGCAGGTCCAGCTTGCCTATCGGTGTGCCCTCATTCTAAAGGACCTCATCAACCCGTACTTACTACGGAGGCTAAAAAAAGACATCAAAGAAGTCCAACGAATGCCGGGAAAAAAGGAGCAGGTGTTGTTTTGTCGCTTGAGTGACTACCAGCGCATGTTGTACGAAGATTTCCTTCGCTCGGATTATGTCAAAAAGGTGTTTCGGGGCACCGCACAACTCTTGGGAGCGATAACGGTGATGAGAAAAATTTGCAATCATCCCGACCTCCTCAAAGATCCCGACGATGATTCTTTGGTGGAGCCGTTGTATGAAGGCAGGGCACCAAACGAGCTCAAGTCCAATAACAATAGTGGCAGCGACAATGATGGAGAGGCAGACGCGATTTCAGGTAGGTATCAAACAATGATTCAGAGATCTGGGAAATTAGAGATATTGGCAAAAATTTTGCCTCTTTGGAAAAAGCAGGGGCATCGGGTGCTTATCTTTTGTCAATGGAGAAAAATGCTTGATATCATAATGGAGTTCGTGGCGGTAAAAGGATGGAAATTCGGTAGATTGGACGGGAACACAAACGTTGCCTCGCGGCAACGGCTTGTCGACACTTTCAACTCGGACGATTCGTACTTTGGTATGCTGTGTACCACCAGAACAGGCGGAGTAGGTCTGAATCTGGTTGGAGCGGATCGCATCATTCTATATGAGTAAGTATTTGTTTTCATCTCAGTGTCCCTTCTCGCACATTTATGGTTGCCAACGATTTTTGTTTGCATGCTGGCTTAGCCCCGACTGGAACCCACAGACGGATGCCCAGGCTAGGGAACGAGCATGGAGATTTGGGCAAAAGCGAGAAGTGACGGTGTATCGTATGATTTGTGCAGGTAAGGTTCATTCTCTGTGCTGCGGTCAAACAACTGACCGGGAAAAACAAATACTCATGTATTCATAACAATCTTGTGTGTGCATTTGTCTTCCCTTGCATCCCCATCACTGACTCCGTCTTTCAATGTTACAGGCACGATCGAGGAAAAGATTTATCAACGGCAGATTTTCAAAACAGCCCTGTCGAATAGTGTCCTTCAAAACTCAAAGCAACGTCGACTTTTCACGAACAAGGATTTAAAAGATCTATTCAGTCTGAAAGCAGACAATGGAAGCATTGTTGCAGGCAATGATGGAGTGACAGAGACTTCAGAATTGACAAGAGGAGATGGTTACATCGACCCTGATGACGAAAATGTTGTTGCAGATAATCATCATGATGACGGAGAAACCATGAGAACTGTTTTGAAAAGTCAAGGCTTAGCTGGAATTTTCGACCATGATGTCGTCGAAGGAAAATCTAAAGATAAGAGGGCATCTGTGAGGGAGATGGAAGCGAAAGCGAAAAAGATAGCAAGAGAAGCACTACAGAATCTTCGGCAGAGCGTCAATGAGGAAAGCAATCCTTTCGGTCGAGAAAGTCGTTTTGGTGCGGGCAACGCAAGTAGCAGTCTACTCTCTTCCATTGCAAAACGTACCTCCGAAATAAGCAACGCAGGAACATTGCGTACTGCTATCGAGTCAAACCAGAAAGTCCAGCTGTTAAAAGACCTTCAGACTTTTGTGCGCTTAAACGTGCCGACAACCAGCGAAATTTTAGTAAGTAACATTTTGCATGCGTTTTGAATGGGGAATTGCAGTTTCTTCCGAATCAAATTCCTCATACTCAACCCTCGCACTCAACGTACTATTTTTATCTGGAACAGGATGAGTTTTCATCTCAGGTATCAACACATGATGCGGCTGCAATATTTCGAAGGCTATTGAAGTCAATCGCCACGCTTAACGATGGCAAATGGTCATTGAAGTGATTTCAGGTTGGAGCGTTGAGAGATTTATTTTAAAGGCTTTGACAATGCACTAGTAGACGCAGAGGACCAGCATTACCTTTACAGATACTGTAGATGTTATTAGAATTGAATCGTGCAGCGTTGGGTTCAAGCCTTCTCAAACGCCTATTCTATTATGAATGAGCCAGCATTCGTGATCAACATCATATGTCGTCTCATCAAGTTTCTCCCCCATAGTTATTCAGTATCGCCCTTCTCTATTTTATTCAGCATATCCATCAGTGCCCTCCCCCTTTTTATATGGTTTACAATAGAGATATCTATTTGGGATATAGCCTCAAAAGCACCAGTAGCAAGTAGGACTACTAATTACAAATCCCATGCTGGCAAGTTGTTGGCAATATAATGGCTTTAATTTTTTGTTTTCCCATCTCCATTTCTCCTCCCCCCACCTCAATAAAAATCTCCTTGTCTCAAAATGTTTCAATGGCTGTTCCTTACTACTAGTATAGATCTAGTACTAATTTCAGTGGTTACACTCAAAAATTTGCATCAGTGCCCACTGGGTAACATCCACTAGAGCATTTTTTGATACTTTAATAAACTGAAGAATGAGCTAAAAATCTCCATTAGTGGTTGTGTGGGCATCGCCTTTAACTTCTTGCCAGCAGGGGACTTGTACTTAGTAGTAGTACTAGTAGTAGCTAGTGACTAACCTCTTCACCACTCTTTTATTATTATTGTAAACCCTGTATTCTTGCTGGGTGATTCCTGATAATCTAGATGATCTACTTTTTACAGACAGATAGACAGGAATACAGAAAAACACCAGAAATACCAACAGAAATACAGACAGACTGACAGACAGACAGACAGACAGACAAAAAAACAATTGAGAAAAGAACATTTTTAGGGTGCAAGCCTACACCATATATACTATGTACTAGTATATACTACAATATACTTCTACTATAGACTTCCTCTGTCCCAAAATGATTGTCCCCTAACACGTTTACTATTGGAATAAGCTCAATATTTAGGTGATTTAAATAGTTCTTTTTTTAAATTCATCTTGTTTAATAGAATTTAAATTTGTTATGCCTTTTTACATCATGCTTATAGTAAGATTGAAATAAGTTAAATCATGGGTTCCAATGGTCATTCTGATATGCTCGTGTTAGTGTAGATGAAGTATTTTGTAGTAAGGCTATTTTTTGCATTGCTAAGGAAAACTTTGTTCTTCTGTAGTCATTTCTTGTTTAAAAGAGGTGCACCGTACCATTGCCAATACTACATTTGCTGTGTTAATAGTGCGTGAAAAATAAATCTTAATGGTGCACTTGCTCATTTTTTTATGGTACTGATTCTAGTACATAGAAAAGTGTGTAGTAAATAAGGGGACTTTCAAATAGGGACAGCAAAATTGGAGTCACAGTGCAGTCATTGTGGGACAGAGAAGTGCTATTGCATAGGCTCAGCCAACTGATTCCGGATGCACCAATTGTACATCTTTAGTTCCATATTCATACACAAATATCAATAGGACCCCCCAGCTCCCCCATATCACTAGAGTCATGTTTTAAACTGCTTTTGATTTATGTGCCTATCATACTTACCCATCCATTGGGAACCAAGTTATAGCTGTTTGAGCAAGTTGACCCTTACTTTATGTCACTTTATGTTCTACTTGTTTTTTCTACTGTACTTTAATTTTTGACTATCTTTGTAATGTGTATTGTATTGTATCATATAGAGTTGGCACCAAAATTGAAGATACAGTTGTCAATTTTGGGCTATCTTTTTTCTTGTAATGACTACTTTGACTTGAAAACTGAATTGTACTACTGGTACAGCAGGCATGTGCTGAATTTTTGAATCCYACATCATATGTGCCGCCAAATAGTTTCAGTCTTGCAACCAAAAAGTTTTGCTTGCATGTGCACGCTGTAGCCCTAGTACAAGTCAAATTTTTAATCCCACGAGTCATTACACAGTAATTACATGGCCCAAAATCCATACACAGTGGAAAAACATGTAGAACATTAAGAGAGGTTCAACTCACTCAAGCAGCTATATCTTTGTCCCCAAAGGACGCTTAAGAAGTATGGTAAGCACATGAATCGAAAGCCATTTTTAAGAGCTTTTCTAACAGTATCATGGGGGAGTTGGGTGGTCTGAGGGAAGCCCAAGAATAAAATCAATGAGCAGGATGCTATCTCGAAACAGCATAAGATGCAACAGGAAAATAGAGAGGCACCAAGACAAGAAGATCAGAGGGCTGTCAAGCAAAATTATCAGTAGCGTGATTTGGCTCAAACGTTTGTGCCAATGGTGACAATGGCATCCCTGGTGGTGGTAGTTGTACAGCAAGAAGATTATCAGCAACTAGAAGATTATCTTCCTCTCTCCAAAGTCCTCCAAGAGAAGCCTTTCCTTTACCTGGGGAACTATCCTTTGATCATTATCATCTCCCAATCCAACATATTTTGCTTCAGCCAATTGGCATCCCTAGTATTTATGAGGAGAGGGCTGGTGGTGCTTCATCTTCAGGCAGGGTCTATCTACTATGAGCTCAGAATAAGGAATTTCCTKTCAGGCAAGGCAAAAGCTCAATCAAGAACAGCCTTTGCTTCTCTAGCACAAGTATTCTTGTCCATGTGAGCCATCATGTTGTAGTACTAGTCTACACTCCAGCAGTGGTACCAGGATCATAATACTAGTCACCACTCAGCATTCCAATACTGCTGGTGGCGGTGTGTACTAATGCCAAGTGCCAGGGCAATTGAAGAAGGTCGTTGCAATGCAGATCCTCCCATCAGGTATAAAGGCATACTGGTAGACCCCATTCCTGCAAGCATTTGGTGCCTTCCATCCATTGTACTTCCTCTGTCCCAAATCATGTGTCACTATATCCCTTTTTGCTGTCCCTCAACATGTGTCATCACCTGCGTAGGATTGTGTAGAATAAATGATACCACCAGCAATTTATTTTCACCAATAACATTACCACAATTACAAATACTAATGATAGCAGTACCAATACTACTATTTTTCAGCACTACTACTAGTACTAGCCTGGGCTTCTGCTTCAGCAAGCAGTTCATGCCCTGTCTGAATGTTTTCAGCATTACCACAAATAAATGAAACATGCAACACACCTGCACACATCAGACTTGCTTTGCCCATATGAGGCAGTTTATAGTGGTTGTCTCCTCAAACCCCAAATGAAGCTTCCATACAAGCCTGTAGGGATAAAAATAAATTATTCAGTGTCTCCTGCTTGCACTAATTAAAAGCTTCCTCAACATTTGTAATCAAATGATCAATATTCTTTGACTGTTACTTGTATTGCAAGCTTTGGATTGAATTAAAAAATCCAAGATCCAGCACATTAAGATCAGGACTATTAGGTTGTTGAGTTGTCACCACATAAATATTCCAACCTTCATTTGATGCAGCTGACGCAACATCATCCCTGATAGAAGCCTTGTGGTTAGTAGGCTTTGCATTGTCCTCTTATTGAATGATAATCTTACAAATAGGACTGTTCTCAGCTCCTCTAGTAGTCCATTTTTTGTATATTGCAGGCAACACTTTATCAAGCAACATTTGCTTGTATACATTGCCATTAACATTTTGTGGCTTGGTCACCAGTGTCCCTGCCCAACGGTTAACTGAGTTTTTCTGCTGGTGGTGGTTCTTTCACAACAAAAGGCCAAATACCAATCTTTCCTTCAAACCAAGTGTTGCATCATTAATCAAACCTTGGCCTTGCTGTGGCACAAAGAAACATAAATTTTGTCATATAGGTCTTTGACTGTGACATTGACTTGGGCTCATCACCATCTGAAAGAAGACAAATTGTCTGCTTGGTGTGTTTTAAGTAAAACCACCACTTCTCATCATTATGTATCCAATTGAACCAGCTGTCAAACCTACCATTCTCWTCAATGTGTTGCAACATCCACTTAACTTGACTGAGTTTGTTTTCTTCTGTCAGTAGAGGCTTCACAGTTCCATTGTGCTTCTTAATTCTTGCACTAAATTTCACAAGTCTCTGTAGAGACAACTTGGGAATTATCCTGGTAATAGATGCAAGAGTCTTCATATCACTGCCATCTTTTGTTGGAATATTGCAAAGTGGCTCCACCAGTTCTGATAGCAGTCTTCTGTTCCTGCCAGAGTAGCCAGGTCTTCTAMTAGAATCCGCATTGCCAGCAGCAGGACAGCATGAAATTGGATCCACMACCACCACACAACACGTTTCTTGCTTCTTGTTGTAGTAGTAACGCTTCCAAATCCTTTGAACAGCAGTCCTGGTTGATGTGCAATAGGTTCTTTCTGCTGGTTCTATCAGAGCCCTCCTTTGCAAGAATCAGGCTATCTCCACAAGTGCTGCTTCTATTTTGCAAAAGACCTTGCACAATTGCCAGTTTTTGGTTGTCTGTCAAGTTCTTGCTTAGCTTTCGTGGTCGCCCGAAGAGCTTGCCGTATTGGGTCATTCCCGAAAACATATATCTGTGTACTTTTTGGCACGCCCGGCTCGGTTTATGTAAAAAAAAACATAAATTTTGGAAGAGGTGGGCCCACTACTACCAACATTTATGTAATTGACATWTTTTTTTATTGGAATCCTTGACTTAAACATTTCCAGTCTTCCCACCACTGGAATCTTGTCAAATTAGCATGCAATTTATACAGGATTCCAAATTCCAAAAATGGGGGGAAAATATGTAAGTTAAGCTGGCCAGCGGTGCCATCTGTACCACTGAAAGTGATTCCCGAAAACATATCACAGAATAYSTTTTCGGGAATGACCCATTGCCTGCAGTAGTATCGCTTGAAGTACCGCCCATTGTGAGATTACGGTGCACACAATACGAATTCCTGAGCTCTATTAAAATACCACCGAGAATCAGTCCTATTCTTTATGGTACCAAAATAATATATGAGAACGTAAGCTAGAAAATACATGTGCATTACTGCTATTTTTTAACGTTTAAATGTTTCTGAACGGACATGCTCCCGAATGAGCATTATTTTGGTCAACTCACCGATATGTACCTTTCTTACTGACATCTTTGTCGTGCGTAGGTTGTAMATGAATTTTTCTTACAAGATTCAAGCTATCAAATTCGTTGATGGCATATTCGATAGCTTCCGTTCATTGCAAGGATCAATACGAATTATCGAAGAATCGACGAATAGAACAATAGAATAGAACAATATCATCTCCTCCGTCGTACGTAATACCTATGCACGAACACGAATAGCAATAACAGACGTTTCCCACCACAAAAACGAAATTTTGATGGATAAATAACTACTGTTATAAAAAGAAACCACCACAACGAGGCACATTTTTCGAATAGAGATCGATCAAATATGGTGACGTTTAACGAGTCTGAACCATCGTCGTCGTCCATGATGGACAGCGAAACCAACGAATATTCCTTACAAGAAATCGATGCAAAGTATGGAAAGCCGTCGCTTGAACCAGACTTTAGTTATAAAGTTGTCGGTCGGTTGAGCCGATGGGAAGGTGGAAACACGACACCTTACCAGGTAGAGGAAAAAGAGCCTGAAACGAATGTGCAGATTGACCATGGTGGGACAGAAAAGATGTCGTTTTGTGCGTTTATCAAACAGTTCTTCCGACCATGTTACGACTTGACGGAGGTTACAATCGAAGACATCAGCCGTGTAAAAATCATGCACGATAGATTTATGGGAGATGCTCAGTTCAGCTTCAATTATTCCACTCTACTTGTGATTGCCTCGGTCATCGCTGGTGTGGGTTTGGGTGGCGATTCTTCTGCTTCTGTTATCGCCTCAATGTTGGTGTCACCGTAAGTTTTGTTTTTATGACATTCGGAGATTGATTTGAAAATAATCCACTGGGTTTTTGTGTTTGTTCCTAAGCTCATTGCTCTCTTAACACTTTCAATTCAACAAGATTGATGGGTCCTGTCACTGCAATAGCTTATGGCACGTCGATTGGTGACTTGAAAATGGTTAGAATTGCCGCCATCACAGAGGCAGTAAGCCTGGCTATTTGCATCCTGATCGGGTGCATAATTTCTGGATCGATGATCCAATTCAGAGTAGGGGAAGATTGGCCAACAAATGAAATGTCCAGTAGAACTAMATGGGAAAATTTCCTTTGCGGCATTCCGATTGCCTTTTTTAGTGGTCTAGGTGTCGCAGTTGGTCTCTTAGACAGTCAGACTAATTCTCTGGTTGGCGTTGCAATTTCGGCATCGCTTTTACCACCCGCTGTAAATGCAGGCATGTTGTGGATTATTGGACACGCAATAGATGATCAWTTCAGGAGTCAGGGTACAATTTCGCTGTTCTTAACTATCATGAATATCGCTGTCATCATAGTCGCGTCTATGTTAATGTTCCGATTGAAGGAGGTAAGGGATTTTCAAGCATGTACTACCTTGACCAGCTTTTTGCTCCCGCATGAGTAGAGAGAATTATGATTGACTTGTGCGCTCACCGTTTCTGTATTTTATGATGACTTCGCGCATAAATGTAACCATACATTGTTTCGTTCGAAGACACTCCCCATCGAAAAGAGTATTTTCTGGGCAGACCTCGGAATTGCTAGGAAAATATATCACAACGTTGCAATCATTCCACAAATCCAAGACGCCCCCGATGAAAAAGAAATCAGGAAGCGTGTGACGAAGTTCTTTCCGAGGGCCAGTACCATGATGGCATCGATGCCAACGAATTTTGCAGAAAGTTCTAGTTTCTCAGATCCTGCCAGCCAAACGAGCTCACAAAAAAAGAAAGTAGAATGGAATGTAAACGCAACTCCGTCGGAAACTCCTCTTAATACGTCGAAAATGGCCTCGATTGTGGAGACATAACGAACCTAATGCCTGGTGGAATTCATGCCATTATTGAGTGTTTGGTTGTATAGCAATTGGCAAAGGCGTGAAAGTAGTTGCTAGAACAATAAAATGCACGGCGAACTGAAAACGCTKSWGCATTTTAATGCTGAAATGCAGCATTTTTAATCTAGAAAAACAAGATGAAAGTTTATTCACTTTACGTTAGTTTGGTTTGGTACCAAATCGCATATGAAATTACACCGAAAATTTATACGTGATTTGGCCATCCACTAGTGTAACTTCGCCAGACTAGTCCTAAGCCTCGAGATCATCCTTTGGCTTTCCCATGACTTCAACTTTGAAGGTAATTTTATTAACTTGGACTGGGTGTTTAGTCTGGTGATCTAGAGGCGTTTTAAAACAAAGTTCTGGCCTAGTTTGTAACACAGCTGATTAAAAAAATCTTTGGCCACACTGGCAGTTGATGGGCTGCCAACTCCTCCCCCCATGCCTATTGTATAGACATGGCTCGAAAATAAACAATACAGCCATCAATTTTGGGCTATAATTTTCCTGTGTAAAATGTGTCAAGCACACCGATAGACATYATGAAATCTTTTCCAACTACACCATATTTTCTTTGGAATTTTTGTCATGACGTCAATTGATTTTTGGAAATACATTCTCAATGAACATATTGACCTAAAATACCATCCAATGTTGCACCAATACTGCCACTCCTTCATGATGTTACTAGCAAAAAGGCACCTCATTGTCAATTGTCAGACTCAGAGGAGTCCTCACAACCATGTGCTGAAGCTACCATTATCCCAGTGAAAGTGCTTCTTGTTCCAACAATCAATATCTACTTGCCCCCCCCCATTGACACTACAGCAGCAGCACTATTAAGCAACAACAGTATATCTCCAGCAACAGTCCTATCCACAGCAGTATCAGCAACACTAATCTGCAACAGTTTTCCTCCAGCAACAGCAATGGTTTTTCCCAGCAAGAACACTCATTTCCACAACAGTATCATCAGCAACACTAAGCAGCAAGCTATAGGCGCCAGCTACAGCAACCCTACTTCAACAAATCAATGATAACAAAAAAAATCAAAAACAACAACAAATTGATGCAAAAAAACACTAGCAGGGACACTCAGCACCATATTAGCAGGGACAATCAGCAACACTGTCAGCAACACCACCATCAATGCCACTCACCAACATAGTAGTAACCAACAGATGTTCATCAAGGACAACACAACAACCAACAAGAAGGACAATGCAACAACCAGTCAGGAACAAGGCCAACACCATGGACCCTTGTGGAGTCCCAATCTGTGGCCTTTGAAGCTGCCTTWCAGTTTGAATCAGATGCAGAAACTTTGTTTGAGGATGATGAAAGCTCAAGTGATGAGGAGGTTGTTGATGATAGCTACTGAGTCTAATTAAAAAAATCTGAAGCTCCTGGAATGAGTCATGAGAAGGCAGCACAAGCAGAGTTCTTCAATGTGATCACTCAGAGCCAGACAGCTTGGAACTGGGATGATGCTGTTGAACCTCAAGATACTGAGTTCTTTTATTGGAAGCATGGAACTATTGTCAACAGCAGTCTGAACTACCCCAAGATCCCAGCAGGATATGAAAGAAAGGATCCAAAGGTTGACAAAGGAGAACCTGAAGATTGGAATGATGTTGATAACCCAGGTGTTTGGCACCCCTATTATTACAGACCAAAGTTTGAAGCAGGTAATATGAAATACAAAGGTCACTTTCTTCCTGCTGAGTACAAGTCTGTTGAAATTTCTAAACACTTAACTGGTCTTCTGAAGGAACCCATCAGGGAGTAGAATGAATGGAAATTTAATTACCTAGGGTGGAACGGTACTGTGGAAGATCCTAACAACCAGTTTGCAAGTAAGTTTGCTAGTACAGATAACATGTTTCCAGATGAGAGGAAGGGGAAGCTGGATTGGATGGGTGAGCAAGGTTTGGGTATGATGGGGACTGTTGCAAAGAATTGGTTACCCACAAAGGTCCATGGAGAGTACTTCCATCAGAAGAATGCCACAGGGGACTCAAATGGTAAACAAAGAGCCAAGATGTCAAGTCTTGCTAAGCCTGTCACTGCTGTGAAGACTGTACCAGCTGATCCTGACAAAGGAACCAAAGCCTACAGATGAGTTCATTATTCATTMCAAAGCTCTGGAGCTTGAAATTTAGGATCAGTGGTGAACTCTATTTCATCCTCCTCTCTTAACATTTACTAGAAGGAAAGGGACAGGGGAAATGACAAGAAACAGTGGGGAATTGAAAGGAATGAGTCTTGAAAGGTTTATCTTTGTAGTAGTTATGGCAAACTAGACCATGTCAATGCATACATCTCCAGATTCAACATTGGTTACAAATTATGGGAATACTACTACCATGCTGCAGTAAATCATACCAAGGTGTTGGCAATTGCTACTACATACAACATCTACAAAGAGTGCACTGATGGAAGGCTTTGTGATGAGTGGAAGATAAACAACATGATGAGAAATTGTGAGTTTCATCAGAGGCTTGTCTTGCAGATGATAAGGTATGATCCAGTTGAGCAGGCATATAATTGTGCCACTAGTCTGCATTGGTGCAACATTGGATTTATTTTAGGTCAATATGTTCATCGAGAATATCATCTAGCTGGCCAGCAGATCTACAATACAGCCATAGATTACAAGCTATCTTTTTGCGTGTAATGACTACTTTGACTACTAAAAAAATTAAATACATACAAAATCCACATGCTAAGTGCTACTTGAATTTTTTAATCCCACATTTGTGTGACCAAATAGTTTCACGCACGTGCTCAACCAACAATTTTGGCTTCAAACACATGCAAATTGCTCAGTCAAAGTAGTCATTACATGGTAATTAGATGGCTGGTTATCCACACACTGTACAAAATACATATAGAGAGTTAACTAAGGGTCAACTCACTTGAACAGCTATAACTTGGTCCCCAACCGACACTTAACAATGATAAGCACATGAATCAAATACTAGTAGTAAAAATACGAATTCAGTGGTGATATGGGGGGGTTATAGGGGGTTATTGAGTACATAATTATATGACTGTACGTATATTGAGTATTTAAAATGTACAACTGGATCATGTTTTTTGCTTGGCCCACGCTATACGATATCTCCGAGACGTCAACTGACATCAAGACAAAAATTCCATAGAAAAATTGGTGTAACAAGATTTCATCATGTCAGTAGGTGTGCTCAACATATTTTACACAGGAAAAAGATAGCCCAAATTGACAATTGTATCATACATTTGGGCACCGACACTATACAATAATAAACAAAAAAATAGTAAAAATACTAGTAATTATTAAACATGGATAATTTACTCATTTGTTTGCTCCTCCATTTGCTTTGTTGATTGCTTTGTTGGTTGTTTTGTCAGTTGCATTTTTGGTTGGTTATTGGGTTGCTGGTTCTCACTATCTATCTCCTTTTTTTAAAGGAAAAGCTTTGATCCATGGTGTAAAAAGGATGTCCCCACTCACCAAAGGAAAATTCTTTGGCACGTTGAGTGCAAGGAGTGTAGTTGTTTTCCCTCTTCATTACTGTCCTGTAGATCTCAAAGAACCACTTGTGTTTATCCCCAATGCTCATCTCTTGAGGAGGAAACAGTGGCTTTGCCAATTGAGCCAATTCAATGGCCTTTGCAAGATCTTTCTTTTTCAAGCAGGTCTTCTTTAAACAACCAGSATATGTCTCATTCAGCTCCTTGTTGTACAGAGTAGGCTTCCGGTCCCATTCCAATCTGCCACCCACTTCCAGTCTAAAATCAATARTAGGAATTGGACCTGTGGTGAGGGATTGTCAATTATTTCTGGTGGCAGCAGCTCCGGAGCTCCAGGGGGAGGTACTGAGGTATCCATAACTATTTGAATCTTCCATCCAAGGCCTGGATTGATTTGCTGTTGCTTTATTAACTCTGCTGTTTCCCTTGCCTTTGATGCTGGGTGCCACTTCATCTACATGTTGCCCTTTACAATTGCAAGCTTGTGCTTTGGCATCCAGTGCTTGTAGTAAGCACAGGCTTTGGGTCCTTTGTAAACAAGCATCTGGGCTTGATGCCTTGCTTTCTTTGTTTTTGCTCTCCTTCTGTTTAATTTTACCCTCTGCTTTGGATGAAGACAACCAAACAAGAGCGCTCATCTTGGTTGGGGGGGGGGGACTGAGATGGGTGAGCTGTTGGGGTAGTAGTGTCAGTACGCATTCTTATGGAGATCTTTGACAAGAAAATCTGGTGTTTTTATCAGTTCTTCCCTGGCTTGCTTGTTTTCTTGCTGCTTGCTTTTTCAGTACGCTCGTACTCTCCCTCACAGGATGTATTGTTCTTGATCAATTTACTAAGGAGAAAGAAATGAGATTGATACATCATGTTGAAGTGCGGAGAAATGCCTCCTTCACAGTTCCATCTGATAAACTTGAAAGAGAACAAATGTAGCAAGGACGAGCAGGTGTGATACCCAATTACAACTTAACATAATTAGTGGCCTAATTTAGTGATCTAAAAATAGCAGTTGAGGTACAGAGTGTCCATGAGTGTCTGTTGTGGGACTGGAATGCATTGAGTCTAGGACTGGATGTGTTCAGTCTAGGTAAATAGTCATTACATGGTGAAAAGATAGCCCAAAATTGACACACAGTAGAAAACAAGTGGTATGTTAACTAAGGGTCTACTCACTCCAACAGATGTATTTTGGTCCCCAACAGACACTGCTGAACAGTGATAAGCACACCTTTGTGATCCTAATAAAGAGAGAAAGATGGTCGTGTGGGGGAGTTGGGGGGGCTTTAGGTATATTAAACAATACATGTGTATATATACTAGTATCAAGCATTAAAAGTGTACAATTAAATTGGCTATTTTTGAATTGCCACAGTCATGCAATAATTGTGTCACAATGACACAGGGCACTCTTCCCAACACTATTCGCAAAATGTTCCCCAAAGACCAGCAGCTGCTCTTGGGCTATACTGGTACTGGAGAAGTTCTGATGTTCAACTACTATTACTAGGCTACACTGTTTCTATCACCACCAACAACAAGTGAGGAGACCAAGAAAAAGTAGTAGTAGTAGTGAGCCTGCATAGCTATTAGTAGTAGAATTCAGTACTGCTAGTAGTACTACTACTAGTAAGTCTGTTTTCAAATAAACAAAGCATTTACTGCTAGTAATAATTTTTGGCATTGTTTGTTGAGTACTAGTAGTAGTAGTGGTAGTGGTAGAATGAAATTGATGAGCTCTGTACTACAACAGCCAAGGCTGCCTTTGTTGTTGTTGTTGTTGTTGTCGGCGTTGGCGTTGGCGTTGGCGTTGGCGTTGGCGTTGGCGTTGGCGTTGGCGTTGGTGTTGGCGTCGGCGTCGGCGTCGGCATCTGGTGTGTCCATGTCCTCTGCATTGTCCTCATCCATATCATCCAGTTTATATTGTCCTGGGGCCCCTGGAGGGGCCCAGAAAGCGGTTGGATCCTTGCCTTGTTTGGATTGATGATGCTGAGGAGGGGGAGTGGGCTTCTAGAAGAAGGATTCAATTCCACCAGGGGTGCTGTAGGCCTCCAGTTTTGTCAATATTGGCTTGTATTTGTTCTTGCAGTGATTAATGCAAGCACAGCTCACACAGCTCCTTCCTGAGCCCAACAGCTGCATCCTGACACCTTACCAGCCGGAACATGTGAGCATGTGCTGAATTTGGTGCAATCACAGCAGGGAAGAGGAGACTTTTGCCTCTTGTTGCAGCTGTCGCTGTTGTTGCGATTTTTGAGTTTTCTTCCACTTTTGCTGAATTCCAGCATTCTCACTGTGTAGGAACTGGTAGGAGTTCTACACAAAGCAAAAACTCCAGCAGCTGTGTCAAATGACCACTTTCTGACTACAACGCCATGAACTTTGATCCCAGTTGGGGGAGGCCCTACTACTGGTGCCTCCAGCCTCCTGGGAACTTCAGAACCATGACTCGCTAATAGGAGACTTACACTCACAGCTACTCAAACTGGCTTGATCCCATTCCGGTAGTAGTAGTAGTAGTAGTAGTAGTAGTAGTATGTCATAGTCATTATCATGTTGACAGCAATACTGCTACTAGTATTACCAGTATTCCTAGTAGTACTACTACTGGTACTAGTAATGGTGGTAGTAATTTTCATGTTGATTTTTCAAAATTAAAAATGTACTTTTACTAAGAAGAACTCGTCTCCATTTGGTGCTGGAACAAATGGTCATATTCAGAATCCCCACTGAAAACTGGTGTAGGCAGAACCATCCAAAATTAAAAAAAGTAGTATTTTTGATAAAGTTTGGATAGTAGTAGTTTTACTAATATTATGCAGTAAAAATGAAATTGAAAAAAATCCCTGGGAGGCAGTTTTTAGTTTTTCTTATTGGTGTGAGGCTAAATCACGAGTAGCTAGTGAATAAACTCACTCTTTATTGTAAACCACGTAAAGAGCCTATCAGCATTTTAAACCACGTATTATCGTACACTAAAGAGCCTATCAGCATTTCGCAATTGGTACTCGTACCCAACATGGAATATGAGTTTTTCGAAAACTGCTGGAAAACACTGCGCGTCTGCCATGAATTCATTGGTCCTCGTATTGAGATAGATGCCACAGCGATTCGTTTTTTTTGCGTTTGTAGACCTTATCTCCAGACCCTCACATTATTAGTGCCCTTATTAATTTCCTTAACTCATCGACAGAACAACTTATTGAGTGTTGTGTCGAAGGAACGTATGCTATTCTGTCAGACAGGTATTTTTTGTTTTCAAAATGTCTAACGATCCCTTATCGTTCAATAAAAATGGGGCCAAAAAATAAATTCTGACGAAAGTCGCTAAAACAAGAGAACCAAAACTCGACGAAGTTTCAAACTTGGCATAATGATGCCACCATCGCGCTACGCAACATCACAGTGCTGTCGCACTCATCTCCAATGCCTGCGCAATCATTGCATTCCCACAGACAACGGAAATCAGTTCTATTGTCGGTGGGCGATGGAAGCAAACGATAGGGTTCTTGTTACGCCGAAACCGAACTGATTTTCGTTTTTCGCAACCATGACGGTACCACACAACAACGATAATGAGGATTCATCGGGTGCCCTAGCCAACCATGGGATTCCTCTATCCAGTAGTGGGGTCGAATCGAATGATTTTTTCCTCGGAGATTACCGCCACAACCGAGAGATACTGGATAACCTGGAAGCCGATCCAACTGACGGCGAGGTCGACGAGGATCGACTCATTTACGCAGCGACCAAGAAGTTTGCTACAATAAACATGGACATCCAAAATCGGGAGTCCTTTCGAGCCCGTCGTCCCCTTGTTGTTTCATCCTCCGCATTGCGTTGCGACGATTCCGACAGTTCTGGTGAGCTCATTTGTCCTGATACCGCTCCTCAACGCACTACAAGAATGGCTGAAATGAGAATGAACTTCTTTCGTATATTCCAGCAAGACAACTCCTATTTAGAGGTTTCGCGAGAGGAAATTCGACGAGTTCGCGCTATGCATAAGAGATTTGCAGAAGGGAGTGAATTCAGTTTCAACTATAACGTCTTATTGATCATCGCTTCCATCTTAGCTGCCCTGGGCCTTGGAAGTGATTCCGTCGCTACGATTATTGCTTCCATGCTAGTTTCTCCTTTGATGGGGCCTGTCATGGGGATGGCATATTCCGCAACAATTCAAGATTTCACATTGTTTCGCACTGCTTTCATGACTGAATTGGTTAGTTTGTTGGCGTGCATCGCTGTCGGGGGTTTGGTCACTTGCTGTATGATCCCGTTCGTGGATGTCCCAGATGAGTGGCCAACGCCAGAAATGGAGAGCCGAGCCCTTATGACTAGCTTTTGGATTGGGATTCCAGTTGCATTTTTTAGTGGCCTGGGTGTAGCCGTTAGTGTTTTAGATGAGCAGACAAGTTCTTTGGTTGGTGTTGCAATCTCTGCCTCTCTGTTGCCTCCTGCCATCAACGCAGGAATGCTCTGGACGACCTACTTTTTTAATGAGGCGGGAACCAACGAAGAGATTGGGGACGACGCCCAACACCGATTCTTCCGTGAAGGGGTTATTTCTTTGGGTCTGACGCTTGCCAATATTGCACTGATTATTTTGTCGTCTATGATTATGTTCCGGGTCAAAGAGGTGGGTTTCATTTCTCTCCATTTTTGTCCGATCAAACCAGTATTAAAAAAATAAAGGATTCCCTCTTGCTCACCTAAGCGTTTTCGTTTCCTTCCTTTTCTTTCATTACATCGCAATACCGCACAAGAGAGTAAACATAAAGAGGAAGAAGATATTTTGGACCGATCTAGGATTGGCCAGGTGTATCTATAGAAATCTGGCTGTCTATGACAATCCGGCAGATGCTCCCAATCCCGTCCGAAGAATGGCTCGCCGAGTGTCATTATATTTCCACAAGGGCTCGACGAATCGCGCTTCGAACAACGAGCAATCATCTGAAATATCCTTCAGATCCAACGGTAGCAATTACAGCAGTGGTTTTTGTACTGATGTAGATGTCCCTCAGGGGTCAGAAGACCGCCGCCACAAGAAAAATCTTTCTGTTGTATTGGAGGAAAAAAGATCGACGAGTTCCAGCACGTCCGTTTGAACTAAATTAATATCCATTGTAATAGTCAGCAGATGTGGAATCAAGTATCGCTGGAAAAGACTACTGTAGTAATGATCAAACATAGTGACAATGGTGGTGCGTAGTTTTTCTTCAGTGCATCTTTGTTGCGCTTGTACCTCTTTCGTACAGTTTCCCCCGAATTGGATTATTGCATTATTGCTCCCACCTCTTTTGAAACAAACAGATTGTTCTATCGTACCGTACGGTAGGGCACGGTACGGTATTGTGCCGTGAAGTATTGGTACGCCGTAGGGTGCTGCGCCGATCCAAGCAACAAAAATCAAGCAAGGAAAACTACCCTTTGGTCTGTGGTACATTACGTAACGTACGGAACTGTACATCCATCACCATCGATCGGAAGCCACTCACCCATGTTACTGTATGGTAGGTACGTACCGTACTGTTTGCACAGAAACCTGTACTGTAAGGACCTTACTGAAAGGTACGTAGGGGTCGTACAGTAACAATTTTGGACTTTGCTACATAATACGGTACCATAAGTACCGTACGGTACCGTACCACATGGTCCGTACCGCTGGGTTGTCCGTCACGCACTCGCCTATTTTTTTAAGTGTTTCTGTACGCTGCGTACGGTACGATACCGTAGGCTTCGTACGTYTGCAAAACGCTGATCGTTCTACTGTTGGAACGGGTGCGCACTGAACCGCGAGGCACCTCTCCTTCGGTGAGAAGTTAGTGAAGCAATTCCGTACCGTAAGGTACGTACTCGTACCCGCACTCGTAGTTACCCTCAGTACCGTATCGCATCGCATGATATGAAGAGGCCATCTTTGTTTTTCGTACGGTACGTACGGTACGATTCACTACGTACCATACTTTGTGGTAGTCTCTCGTACTACGCTTCGCTATTTACTGAACCGTTCCCGAAATCCATCTCACCGCACGCACCCTCCAAGCAATCTCGTAACAATCGTACTACAACTCACMTACCAGTAAAGTACGGGACAATCGAGAAAAATAAACATCGAGGAACTCAATCTACGGTATTTGCCGTCGATCGATTGATCCGGATCTGCTAGAACCTATTCTATCATTTGAAAAACAGACTCTTGATCTACGACACGTATCGTAACGCAAGACACCCAATCGCAACCATGATGAAAAGCTGGGCCGACCACTGCTCCTCCGACGAGGACACGGATGACAACTTCTCCGTGGGAGATGAAGAGCAACAGAGTGACGACGATGCCTGCGAGGAGACATCGATCGAGGACGACTTTTCCGATAAGGTCCGGTTGCAGGAGCAACAACAGGAAAGAACCTACGATTTCCCCGATCGTCCCCCCTTTACCGCCTTTATAGGAAATCTCTCCTATGACATCCAGGAAGCCGACCAGCTCCAAAAGGCCCTGGTGGACGTCGTCTTTCGGCACCTCGGGGAGCGTATCACTCCCCTGGGGGGACACATTTCCTACGACCGCGACAACAATCGGCAACACCGTGGGTTCGGGTATGTGGAGTTGAACACCCTGGAAGAGGTACGTGATGGAAACCGGTGCAACGCAGCAACTTGCGGCGTTCTTTTACCGCATTCGATGTTTTGAGCTCGCATCATGAAAAGGACCGTTGGCACGATGCCGATCTTCTTTGAATCGATTCTCGATTGGGTTTGTATCTTACAATCCGTCTTTTTTCTTGCCCTTCCCGTCTTGCCTTTGTATCCACACAGCTCAAGATTGTCATGAAACTCAACGACGATGGGCAGGCAAAGCTGGCGGGGCGAAAGGTTCAGGTGAACACCGCGAACAACCACAATCGATCGAACAACAATTTTAACAATCGCCGAGGAAGCTCGCACAATCACCACCAGAATCACAGTCGGGGATCTTTCCAGAACGATCATCGTCGCAACAGTAATAGCAGCGGCAACAATAGCACCGRCCAAAAACCGTACGAGAAAGTTGATGGATCCAAGTTTCGAGGAGGTATATTCAGCAACAAGAACAACAACAACGGCAGTCACAACAACGGCAGTCACAACAACCGCAATAGCAACCGTTCGCAACCTACCCGGGGCGCTGCTGTACCCCGTGAACGGCCTAGCTTGAAACTGGCGCCCCGAAGCAAGCCCATCGAAGGAGAGGGACGCTCGTCCGCGTCCAATATCTTTGGAGGTGCCAAGGCACGCGACGAGCAAGCATGGGAAAAAAATAGGCACGAAAGGGAAGAGAAACAGAAGCAGGAAAAACAAGCCAACGAAAAGAAGTCAACAGCCAAGAAGCACAATAACAACAACAACAACAACAATAGCAACAACAGCAACAAGGGAGATGAGAAAAACCGGGGCAGTGACGACAATAGCAACAAACGACCTACGGGAAAAAATCGTAAGGAATCGGGAGAATGGGAGACAACTAACGCTATGGACAGCAAAACAAAAAACKCGGCGCAGCAAAACCGGCGAAGCAGCGGGCGTGCAGGGGCGGGAGGACGCGRTGGAAAGGACCGCGGTCGAGGGAATCACCAGCAACGCGGCGGAAACAACAGCAACCACGGTGGGCGAGGCGATTCGAGGCGCGGTTCTTCTGCGCGAAACAAACAAAATGAGAAGAAGAACCACGACAAAAAACAGCAGCAGGCCGAAGAAAAGGCCACTGCCACCGCCGTGGCTGCAAAGGCCAACAACAGGAACAACAAGGCCACCGAAAGCGCCCCGAAGCCGGTGGCACCGAGGAACAAGTTTGCCCTCTTGGACGATTCCGATTCGGATTAAGTAAGCTTAGCCAAAAGGAAGTCGGCAGAAATCATGGTTTTGGGAAGGTAGTAGAGGACATAGTTACAGCACAACCTTACAGAAAATACCAAAGAGACGCAGCACAACTCCCAAAACTGTGCCACTTGTGTTGATTGCTTTGTAGCCTGCCCGCATACACAAATCATGAAATACTTGGTTTCTTGATACCGGTATGCGGTCATTTTTTCTAAGAGGCAAACTTGGAAAATGGACGAAAAAAAGGAAAAAATGGAAGCAAACTGGAATCCAACCAATTATAACTGGTATCCACTTGTCAWASAAGAAACTAGATGTATATTGTTGTTACGTGTCTAGCACAAATAGAATAATGATTTAATTTACATGCAACATCCACCGAAKTTCATCACAATTTGGTTCGAAAGGGTGCGATCGTATAAAAACTACATATTTGCGTATCAAGACATATGCCTTCACTACAAGACAAGCTTTCGATAATTRCAACTTCCTCTACAAAACGATCCTATGGATTATTAGGAATGCAATTGTTCCACGACTCTGTACCACGGCTCGATTCATATGCGTTCGTACAACAAAAATGGAGTGATCTTATTCAAATACTCTTTTTGAAGACAAAGTTGAATTCGTGGAATGTTCAGAATCGCAGGTGTGCTATAGACATCGCATCCTTCACTCATAAAGAACATTGTGCATTACTGTCATTCTGTTTGGAAGTACTCGATACCAAAAACGAGGGCTGGACATTGTCAGTCCAACACTTCTACTATACAAGACAATCTATCACTCTGTCGACTAAATTTAGACTAATGGTGTTTGAATTTAGCCGGAACGGCAAGAAGAATCCAATTCCACTGGCTCGTTCGAAAACTCACTCGATCACCTGCGTTGTTCGCTGGCAGCATTCAGCCGCGCATGGCGAGACACAAAGTTGGCCCCCAGCTTGACGTTTCGCCACAAAAAGATGCGGCCATCGATGGCTGCCTTGCGGTATTTCTGGATCGGGCCCCTCGCGACCAGCTCGTTCGGGTTTTCGGCACCCGGCACCAGGCCATGCGTTAGCGTGATCACGTCCTTCCCCTTTCGTTCGTTTAGGAATGCCTTGTCGGCCTCGTACGAGGCCTTGAGTTCTTTCCAGGTCGCCGCCTTTTTCGAGCTGCCGTCTCCCCTCTTTCCTCCCTGCATGGTTCCGCGGCAGTTTGGAGCTCCGCAGCGGCACACGAATCGGTCCCCTTGCTTCGTGTCAAAGTGGTAGTCATAGCTTAGGAACTCGCCCGCCTCGATGTCTCGAATACTGTAAATCCCATTGCGGATACGGCCTTTGACGTTGACGCTCATCACCTTGCAATTTGGTGCGCATGAGTGGTTGATGAAGCGGCTCTGGTTCGCATACACGCGCGCGTCAACATAGTAGCCTCCCGACAGCGCCATGACGTAAAAGTTTGGATCGTTCGGATGCTCTCTGTTCCACACCTCAAGCCTCGTTTCCTTTTCGGTTTCGTCAATGACTTCCCCCACGTATTCCTGGACGAGCTTGTTCTTGGGGATTCTCTCGAGCGTTATCAGTCCCCACCCCTTGCCTCGTTCTCGCTTGGGCTGGCACTTTGCAAATTTTCGCTTGCTCATGCCACGATTCCCGCAGTCCTTTTCGCCAAGGTTGCAATTGATTGGGGTGCATTCTGTCATGATGTGCCGGTTGAAGCAATCCTCCAGGCAGGACGATCCGGTGCACTTGCATTTCTCCTGGTCTTCGGGCGTTGGACCGGGTACCCTTTTCGGCCGGTTGTTCTTGTCTCCGAACTTGAGCGATTGGATGTGTGAATACGGCGGTGGTTTAGAGTACACCTCGTTCTTGATGTCGTTTGGCAGGCAAAAGGGAACGCTCCCGTCCAGTATCATGGATATCGTGCTGGAAGGACGCACCGCGACTGCAGCTGACTGTTTTTCTTGTCCCAGTATTTGAATCTGCTGCATGGCGGTTTCCTTTGCGTGCGATAGAAGATACTTCTCCTTGGCATCCAACCGATCTCCCCGCAGCCCAGGGAGAAAGGGATTCGTTCCACGGCGGCCGAGCCATCCGTTGGAGCGTTGTTGCTTGTCTCCCTTTGACCCTCTCCAGCGACCCACCCCATGGAGCCTCATTAAGGTTTGGTCGATTTTGCTCTCCACTTTGGATTGGATCGAGTCGTTCATGTCGAGCTCCGGGAGCTTATGTGTCGTGGCGTGTTCGTGGCAGAGGACGGCCAGCTCGTGGAATTTAGCGGTCGGTGGAATGCACGTGATATGGAATGACATAGGACAGTATAAACATCTCTACAAACCGATAAACAAACAAACATGTGTGCACAGGACAACCAACAGCAAATGAGGTTTGCAAGATTATTATGGCAACGAATGCAATGGTTTTGATTGAATGATACTGGCAGCATTTAGAACAAAAGGACGCAATGTGTTCTTTCGTTTTCTTTGGCCACTTACAAAGAGACGCCCAGGCTTGCACTGAAATATAGACGTATTCTTCTTCCCCTTTTTTCGAGACGATTTCTGGTTCTTCTTGCCCTTTCGCTTGGCTTGTTCAGCTGCCTTCTCGTCCTTTTCGAGCTGGATCATGTCCTTTTGCGTACACGTCCAGCAACGATGGGCGTGGCAGGTAAAGACGGGGATCCGGGACTCCTCCTCGTCTTGCTCGTCCCCCGCCTCGTTGTCGGCGCTGCTGTTGTCGTCTTTTTCGTTGCTATCCTTGCCCCGGGATCTCGAGGTGGTTTTGCGTGCATACTCGTAGTCGACGTGGTTTAGCTTCAGACACGCCTCGCAAAAGAAAAGGCCACACTTGTCTTCCTTGCAGGGAAAGACGCCGACACCGTCCTCCCCGTATTCCCCGCAGTAGGCGCAGGCGTGTTCCTTTTTATCACACTCCCGGCAGAGCCAGTCGTCGTCGGTGGACGGCGCTTTCGTCAGACCTGCACAGGGGATGTGGAAGATGCGGTGGCAGGGACCGTCGCAGATCAGAAAGTCCGCGGACCCGTCGTCGGCACCAACCAGGCCGCATTCTGCTTCTTTGCACTCGGCACAGATCCAAGCCATGTCTTCCTTGTCAGTACCGTCGGCATCGTTTTTTGTTTCTTTTTGGCTGGTTGCGTTCGTTTCGAGCGCATCTAGTTTCTGCTTTTTGTGGGCCACCACGCAACMCGGTGATAGGCCGTCCGGGGCCTGGTTGCTGTTTCTCTCTGGACTAGTTTCGTTGCTGGCAGCGTTGGCGGCACACGGACGCTTCGTGCTCAAAGAAACCATCTCTTCGTTCTCTTTCTAAGCTGCGCTAGAAGAGTCTCCCGGAAATCCACTATGTAACGATTCCGCTTGCAACGGTACTCGATACTCGAACAGGACTACTTTGCTTCCGAAAAAGATTCAAGATCCGAGGTAGTTTCGTWTGGTACGAAAAAATAACGAAGTACCGGTACGAGTACGAGGAACTGTACTTCGAAATACAGTACTGTGCTTCCATCCCYTAAATGCCGCCTTCATTGGCGCGCCAACGTCTGCACGTCAGACGAGATAAGGCTAGGTGTGTTGTACTTTGACCTTCTACTGTGATCCGAAGTACAGTACCGAGTACGAGTACCAGTACCTGTTTCAGTACTATCTAGTAAGACTCACTACAACTGCTGTGACRTACTAGCTAGTACTAGTACTACTAGTAGTACTAGTACCGTCGAATCGACATGAGGACGATGTTGTGGTGAGGAGTCAACTAAGAGTACTATTACTACTAGCTAGTAGTACTAGTACTACGTACTTCATACTAGTAGTAGTAGCTACTAGTACTAGTACTCCTCCTACTACTAGTACTACTGCTACTACTACTAGCTAGTACTGATGATTATTCTCATGCCATGATGAACAACAACTAGTACTAGTACTACTAGTAGTACTACTATCACTCCTCTGATACAGTGCGTTGACATGTGCTGTACTACTACTAGTAGTACTACTAGTAGTAGACAGTGACGAGGTACTAACTACGTACTACTTCTATTTCTTACGACCAACCATTCACCAGCAGGCTTTGGTTTTCGTCTCATACTAGTAGTACGGAGTCCAGAAGTTGCGGAGTCATAGAATATTGAATGGTAGAATTATCCTCGAATCGCCGCTTTGAAGAGTCATCCATTTCTCAACCACATCAGTTCGTGTTGGCGCCAGTGCTCTCTAGCTCTAGTCGACCCACCTCCTCGAGCAATCGAGATGCTTGTTCGAACACTTCCATCTTGAATTTATTGCTCTCGTAGGCCGACTTGAGATCTTCCAGCTTGCGTAGGAACTCTCCCGACAATTTCTTTCGACGTTCTTCGTATCTTGCGTCGTATACCTTCTTTTCGGTCTCGTACATTGCCAAATATTTCTCGCTGATCGATTCATGATGTGAAATCTGGTCCTGGTGAGGTTTTTTGAACTCTTGCTGTTCCTTGATCACAGCATTTATCTCTTCCTCTTGGACCCGAACCTCGGCTTGCAGTTTTTCTGCTTTCTTCTTTACTTCGCTCATGGTGTCCGCTTTTGCAGCGAGAGCATCGCGCTCTATGGTTTGTTCCCGTTCCAATATCTTGCTGGTGTCACTAATTTGAATGGCAAGCTTCATTTTCTTTTCGGCCAGACATTCCAATTCTGTTTTTCCTGGGGCTACGACAGTGGACTCTTTATCCAAGGTTTCCTTCATCTTGGTTTCTGCTAGCTTCACTTCTTCCTCTGCTGTTTGCTTTCTTAGCAGAGAAGCTTTCTCGAGATCTTCTTGTTCTTGCAGTTTAAGCTTTAGTTCGGTGTAGCGCGCTTGTAGCTCTTTTTCCTTCTCTATTCGGACCGCCTTAGCTGCATTGTATTCCTCCTTGGATTTTTCATAGTACTCATAGTCCTCGATCACTTTCGAAATCTTTTCGTTCTTGCGCTTTTGCTCCTCGATTTGAAGCATCTTCTCCTCCTTTTCTTTCACAAGACCCTCCACTTCGGCCATGCCTGCTTGAAGCTGCCGACGGAGTGTGTTTTCCTCATCGCAGTTCGCCTTCTTCGTCTCAGCCAACTTTTTCGTCTTCCGTGAACGATCACAGTGTGAGTGTGCATATTCGAAACGAGTTCATAGGCAGGAAAGAATGAATACGGTCAGTCGAATTTGAAATCATTGATTGCACTGGCTGGTAAATCCACATCTGATGGGTGGCACCACCAATGTTAGCTATAATACTTAACTCTACTCAGGCAGAGAACTTACCAATTCCATGCACTCCTGTCCCTTAGATCCACAAGCTTCCCGCGTTTGTTGGATCTCAGCGTTACGTGTTTTTGCTGTATCGTCGTCGCGCTTTACTTCCGACTCTAATCGTTTCCCTTCTTCTCGAGCGCGCTTTAAGGATTCCTCGAGACCATGTGACTCAATCGATTGTTGCAATCGCAGACTCTTCTCATCGCGATCACGGGTTTCGACACGAATTGACTTGAGCTCTTTCTCTTCGTTCCGAAAAGTGCTAAGAATAGAGTTTGCGCGACAATCCTTCTCTTCGAAGATTTCTTTGGTCGATAAGGTAGAAGCAGTACTAGTTGCGTTGTTGTTTTCGTCGATAGCTTGCGGTTTGGTTGGACGAGAAGGGGGAACAGATGCCTTACTGCGTCCGTCTTGTAACTCCAATGAAAGGGGAACTGAAGTTGCCATCGTAGACTTTACAATAGTCGACTCAAATTCTTGCTTCAGGTTCTGGGAAAGTGTCAAGAAAAGCTTTGCGTTGTCGAGCTGATCCATTGCTCCTTGATTTAGTGAACGCAGCTCGGTCTTGGCATGACCGAGGTCTTTCTTTAGTTGTTCTTCTGTTTGGGTTTCTTTTTCCAGGCATTTACTAGTCTCTTCATTGGCTGTTTCGATTTGCTGGGTTTCTATGTGGAGCGTCAAACAAGTTTCGTCCTTGGTTTCGACCGACGCGCCATACTCAACGATATCATAACCAACATCCGTGTCCGGGGCGGCAGGGGGCGCTGGCAGGGAGGCGGCTGTTGGTGCGACAACAAGTGACGGTGTCACTTTTGCTCCTAGAGCACCGTGGTTCTTCCTCGACGATGACGAGAACGAGTATCGTCGACGAGGATATAAATCGGTTTTTTGTTGCGAAGACATGGCAGCGAATTATGTTTTTCCCACTTTACTTCTAGCGGTACTAACAACACWTTACTTTTGTCAAACTCCGAATTTCAGAGCGTTTGTGTGTTGCTGATTCCTCTATGAGCTTCATAGAGTTCGAATCGAAGAAGCTTACTTGCTGCTTGCATGTCAACAAGCAACAAAGCTGCGATACTTATTGTTCGCGTCTGTAGCAATTCAGTAATTGCTTCTTTCCAAAAATGACAGCATTTTAAATTTTGATCGTGCATAGGAAGAGTTTTGATCGTACGGTACGAAGCAAGACTCAAAACGCCGTGTTCAAAACGCGAATACGTACGAACGGTAGTACGTAATGATAGTCCCAAGGTCTTGAGCAAGGGC